GTCTCTGCCGCTCCTTCCTCCTCAGGGGGAGGATTCCTCACTCAGCCCCTGCTCCACCGGGGGGTCCCTCCCGCGGGAGACAGTCCTCCATGAGCTTCCCTGGCGTGGGGCCTTCCCGCAGGCCGCAGGCCTCCAGTCACGGCCTGCTCCAGCGCGGGCTCTCCCAGGGAGCGGCGGCCATCTTGGGGGGCATCCATCCCCCTGCTCCCCCGCTCCTCCTCCCCTCCTTCCTCACTGACCTCGGGATCCGCAGAGGGGCTCCTCTCACATTCCAATCTCCTCCCCCACCGCAGGTTCCCCTTCTTAAGAACATTCTCCCAGAGGCGCGACCACCATCACTGACGGGCTCGGCCTGGGCCAGCGGCGGGTCCAACTTGGAGCCGGGGAAGCTTCTGGCACCTTCTCACAGGTGCCGGCCCTTCAGCCCCCTCCCTGCTACTAAAGCCCCACCACGCAAACCCAAAACAGGGGTCAACCTGCAATGTTTTAAAGAAAGCCCGCATTTGAAAGGGTGAGAGCACAGTCCTTGCTTCTGTCAGCCCAAGCCTTTGCCACAGAGCAAATACCCAAGGGCCTGAGGAGCTCTGGAGAACATTGAGTTTAGCTTTCCTCCATTGCCTTCAATACTCAGGTCCCTGATACACCCTGCAGGAGACCCAGGTGGATCCTCCTGCACTCCCACCATCCTAGGGAGCATCTTGGGCTGCAGACAACGTGTATCTGGCCCAGTGTGTAATGAATAATTCATCCAAAGTACGATCCCCCCTTGAATAGCTGGCAGCCAAGGACATCTCTCTTGCCTGGGAAGTGGGGAAATAGGGAGTTTGAAACTCTTCTGTTTGATTCATAGGGCAACACCATGTTTTCTGCGCTCTGATCACTGGGTTATTTTTTAACCTGAGGTAAGCAAGTGTCTACCTCTGTTTTTTTCCCCTCTAAAAGACAATGTGACAGCGAGAACTTTGAAGTAACAAGGAAGTTCATGTGTGTGGAGAGCTGGTTGCCTCCTCACTTATTTCCCAAGTCCAGAGTTGCAGGCGTTTGCAATTATACACCATTTCTGTTTTTTTATTTAATATACCATTTTCATCTTTTTAGCAGTACACGTGGCTGCCATTCCTTGCTTTGTGATACCAGATCCAGGCCTCAGAAATGGCAGCCAGCCTTGGTTCCCGTTTTGCTTCAAGGAAGGCCCTTGAGATGCTGCAGGGGAAGCCCAAGCATGCCCTGTTTCAGTCATCTCCACACTTGTGTTTGATACATGTGCACATGCTAACTTCCTTTTTTTCTTCTCCTTTCTTTTGACAGTGGCAGATTTGGTCTCTTCTGAGCTCCCTGCAGCCTCTGGGTGATCGGAACGTTGAATTCGGCAGACAGTTACCATTCGTTCCCTGGGATCGTACCTGCCCTTGCTCTCCTCATCCCCTCCTGCGCTCCCCTTCCCTCTGATAAAACTCCAGGGTGTTGCGGTATTGCTATGGAGCCCAGGGAGACTTTGGGCAGCTCCCGGCAAAGGGGGGGCGAGGCAGACTTTCTGCCAGCCACTGTCACCTCCGCGAAGCCTCCGCCTGCCTCCGGCTGTGCGGGGGAGACGATGTTGCCTGCGGCGGGCTCGGGGAAAGGGATCCCGGTGAGCGGCGAGAGGCTGGAGCCCGAGGAAGAGGATGAGCTGGGTTCTGGGAGAGACGTGGATTCCACTTCCAATGCGGACAGTGAGAAATGGGTGGCGGGAGACGGCCTGGAAGAGCAGGAATTTTCCATCAAGGAGGCTAACTTCACGGAGGGGAGTTTAAAACTAAAGATCCAGACCACCAAGAGAGCTAAGAAGCCCCCAAAGAACTTGGAGAACTATATTTGCCCTCCCGAGATCAAAATCACCATCAAGCAGTCTGGGGAGCAGAAGCTTTCCAGAGCTGGGAAAAATAGCAAAGCAGCTAAAGAGGAAGACAGATCACACTCCAAAAAGAAGGTAAGTCCTATTCTTTCCCATATTTCCCCTTTCTCCTGAAAGCAGAGGGAGAGGGTAGGATTTAACCTGCTCAAACAGTTTGTGTCCAAGGCATAACCTTTGCAAGGTTTGCAAAGCCTCACTTGGCTGCAGAGGAGTTAATACAGAGTGGATATCAACCTGCACTGCCGCGTATGCTGCGGGGATGATCTTGAACTATCCTTCAGATGAATCAACTCGTAAGGGATCAAAAGTTTAGCTGGGTTTCTTCTATTTTTGTGCGTAATTGAGATTTAAGATTAATCATTACATGAGTGATAAATGAAGGAGCCCACTTCTAAACTGCTTTGTGTCTGAGCACTAATGCTCAAGCCTTCTGGCAGTTAAAGCTTTCGACTACATTTTTAAAATACAGGTATGTGCATGGTGAACAATTGAATCCATTCCTGTATATCGGGTGAAGGGCTCCATTATTCTTGATTACAGCATTGTGCTAGCAACACTATAGTTATGCTTCAGAAAATACTTCCATTATAAGTCTCATTTTCTTCCAGATGCATATCATTTTCTTGAAATATCCTTCTGGAAAGAAATTTTTGGTACTTTAAGTTTGGGTAAAAATTGATCTTTTTATTCTTATTTTTTCATTTAGTCAAGGAGAGGAAGAGGGAGGGAAAAGAAAGAAAATCCTTTCTTTGTATGAACTGTCTTCAGGAGCATCCTTTTGTTTTGCTGTTGGCTTGATTTTTCAATACTGTCCCCTACGCTTAGTCTTTCAAATGAATTTAGTTTAAGTGTTTTAAGCAGCACTGGTGGGGGGAGGGACACCTGGTGACTACTCATGTTATTTTGGGTGTAGTGGTGTTTTCTGTCCTATGCGTTAGACAAAGGAGCTTTGGTCAGGTTGCGGCTTTATCACAGTACAAATACTTCACCTCTGCCTCCTTAGTAACACGTGGGTATCATGATGAGTTTGGACAGGAACCCAGATTTGATGAAAGACTCATGACTATCTCCAAAAGCTGGACAAATTCATCTTGGATGTAGGCATCCACTGATTAGGGCTCGGGGCTTGGATCCCTCGCTGTGCAGAAGGTCCCTTCTTCCCCCATACTTTATACACTTGATGGATGCTCAAAGGCTACTTGAAGTCTTGAGGAGGCTAATTGCCAACGGCTCTCCCTGGAGACAGTCTGCTTGGCAGACTTAGACCAAAATTCTGATAACTCTAAATCACTTTTTGAAGCATCAACATTTCCCATTGACTCAAGGCAGAGCCCAGGGAGATTAACATTGCTCACTCTGAGAGTACTTCTCTTAGAAGCTGAACTTGAAAAAAACCCCCCAAAATCAAGGGGATTTTTTTCTTAGAAACCTGCTAAATGGCATACTCCATGTGCATGAAAAAAATAGCTCTTTTTAGCACAGCAGAGGTTTGGCCCTATAATACACTGAGAAGAGATTGTCCCACCTATTGAGAAGGATGGGCTGCCTTCTTTGCACTGAGCAATGTCTTATTTCCACTTCCCTTTCCTCCCTGAATACTTGCAGAGGTCTCAGGGGAACTAGCGGTTGTGTGCGACCATGCTCGGTGACAGCAAAGGTGTCACAAGCAATCCCTCCATGGCCGTGCAGGGAGAAAAAAAGACTTGCAAAGTGCTGCCTACTATGCATGGACCGTGGAGAATATGACTGCTTAGAAATCGGAGCTTTCATTTCTATTTATCACCCAGTCAGATGGGTATGGAAGGCATGTTCCTTCCTTCATGTGGCCATCCAAAAAGGTTAAATAAATAAAGCTAACTATAAGGAAACTATGTGCAAAAAAACCCAACCCCAACAACAACAAAAAGGCACCTTGTAGTGTGGTTACGCTCAGGGTGAGACTTTAATTGCAGAAAGTTTGAAGGAGGTGGATCATGGCCCAAACATGGCTGCATCCAGCCTGTGCTTGTGCTGTGAGGTTTGAGCTGGCCGGTGCTGCGTTCATACCCCATGCTCAGGCTGGAAGCGCTTTGGGACAGCACTGGCCTAATCTGGCCATTAAAACAAAACAAAAAAAACCCCAGCAGGTGGATGCTCTGAGCAGATGGGGAGAAGGCTGCCGCACCGGCGCATCTATTAGCATAACACCCAACGGCTGCCGCGCGGCAGCTGCTGAGCTGGGGCTGTGGCGGAGAAGTCCCCAGCAGGGATCTGGAAGACCCCAGTGCTGTGATCTCAAGGGGTTTGATGCCTGCAGACCTGCAGCCTGCATCACCAGGATGGTAAATAACCTGTATCTCTGCAGCCGAAGGGATTTCGCACACGACTGCCTTTTAGCTCATGGGTTGCAGGATCAGGCCTTGGCTGTGAATATGTCGTATCAAGAGGTGATGAAAGGCACTATAGGAGGGGGAGGTTGGAAATCAGTGGGAGAAGGGTTCCAGTGCTGGCAGTGCGACCTCTTTCGTGGCCGATGCATGCGTCTCAGGGCAGTTACAGAGATTTGGGGGGGGAAGATAATTAGGAGGAAACAGCAAGTGGAAGCTCAAATGGAGCTGAAACTGTCTGGTCCACCTGTGGGTTTCCCTGGGAGAGAGGACGATGTAGGTACCTTCTGTGCATGTACTTGCAGACCACTGAGAGCTGTGGTAGTGGTTAAAAAATAAAAGTGATTGTCACATTTAAATGATTCTGGCGGTTTTGATATTTCAGAGTTAGGCTGTTTGGTTGCCTGTTGCTCTAATCAGTGCAAGCTCCAGGAAAGCAGCTACCGGCAGCAGCAGGAAGGAACAACGTGTTTAAACCAGTGGGGCAGATCTTCAGCTGGCATCACTCCATTGTCCTCCTTGGATTTTTGCCAGGAGAGTTTGGCCCAATGTACACATTTCCCTTGTGCATGGGAGCAGCATCATATTTGGGTTTACCACCTGGCTTATGGATGCAGGGCCTATATACAGGCCCCAGAGACATGTATATAAAGATGGAGAGCTGAGCTGCAAGTGCCGTGCTCATGTGTCTGGTGGGTGGGAGCCGTTGTCCTGCACCTCATGGAGTAGCACCTGAATTTATCTTTCCCCCTGAGGAGGAGAAAACTCTATCAGGACTTGAAAAATCACTTAAGTTTGTTGCATAATAATTTCAGCCACATCTCCAGTAGTCCCCAGTGCTTTGAAATACCACTTCAGCATTCTTGCAGGAGTTTCAATACACACAGCACAGAGGGCAAGTAATGAAAACATGGAAGCAATTTAAGTAACAGCATGTGGGTACACAAAGGACTGGTAATGCCAGCAATGTAAAAAGGGGCTGTGAACTGGGGATATAGCATTTATTCAGTGGCCACTTAGGGAGGAAGAAGATATGCCTGTTCCTAAGCTTGCCACTGCTCTGCTAATTAGGCAATAGGGGCTAGTGCCTGATTTCTAAAGCTGTGGTCCAGGGAGCGGCGGTGATTAGAAGCGGGCTCTGTGGAGAGCCACGCTGCTCATGTGCCGAGGCCTGGGTTTTTTTTGCCTTTGATTCCAGCTGCTACCCTATATTAAAAGACGTAAACATACATTAAATACTTTCCTCATGTTGCTTTTCCGTGTGAGCAATCGCCCCGGGGATGTTATGCGATCATGAATGGGAGGGGAGGGAATCCGGGAGAGGATCTTGCTGGGTGCGGTTGCTGATGCCCCGGAGCGGGGAGGGAGGCAGGGGGTGAGAGAGCATCAGCGTTGGGAACCTCTGCTCTGCCACCTTGAATGCTTGGCTGCAACCCAACAACTTTTGGGGTTTCTTTTAAGTCGTGACCACGCCAAGTTTCACATCGGCTTCCCCTTCTTGAAAATAAGAGTGAAGGTAGTTTCCTAACCCCTTTCCCGGGGCTGCTCGGAAGGTGAATGGTAGCTTGGGATGTCCGTGTGGCTGCTTGTGCGGCAATTGGAAAGCACACAAACATTCTGTAAGCGTTTGCTCTTATTTCAACCCTTCGGTGCCTGGGGATGGAGTGGGCTGAACCCTTGCCACTTCTAAACCCGCAAATGGCTCCATTTCATTTAGTCTGATTGGAGAGGGAGGGAAGAAAAAAGCCAGGAGCCTAAAGGATGTCCTTCTGGCATGTTGGCAAGCCCTGCAGCCGCTGCTCTCCCACCTGCAGCAAGGTTGCTCGAGTCCAGCGTCCTCAGCATCACTAAAGGTGCCTTTTCCTTCAGATAAGGAAACATGCTGTCAGTCTGGAAGGGCACTGAAAGCGTGGCACCAAATGCAATGAAGCAATCCATCAGCATTCCCTGCCTGTCATGTAGCATTTAACAAGCCCCAGATGAGCTGTATTTCCCTGGTTTTGTTTTATTTCCTCTTCCCCCCCCCCCTCCCTGCACTTGCTGCTCTCTGTTTTCTTATGTCTGCAAACACTTCATTTTCCACCCCCTTCTTTCTCTAAGCGTAGCCTGATAAAGTTTCTTTGGAGCTTCCATCATATGCATAATGTCCTGCTTTGGGGAATGTAAACTCATTTTTTGGTGATTATTATTGCACTGGGATTTTTTGAGAGCTTGGGATGGGTGAATGCATTTTATTGCTGAGAGATAAGCAGCAGCAAGTCAATTGGAAGTAAAGCTTCCTTGTGTGCAGTCAGAGGAAACTCTATCCTTGGATTTTCTTGCAAGATTCTTTTTCCCTTTGAGTTCCTGTAGGTATTTGCCATTTCTCTGCAGGAAGCAGTTCTAGCACATTTTGCCTTGAAATTCAATTCATTGTCTTCCTTTCCTCTGTCCCACACACGCAACTTTCTCCTGCGGTTCGCCTTTCCTTGAGGACTCTCTCATTCGCATGCTTTCCCCTTTGCACCCCTCCTTCTTCCAGAAGATCGTGAACACTTCCCCCCCTCTCCTTCCCCCTTCTTTGCATCGCTGACTGCACATTGCACTTTCCCTCCAGGTTTTCATGTGCATCCGCAGCTGTTGTCGGATTACCCCTGTGCCGGACTCCTCTCCCTGGTGATTTGTGTGCATGATCGTCCAATTGCTCATAGTGCATGCTTATTCCTTTTTGCTAAGGGCATCCCCATGTGAGATGTCCTCTGAATCAGCTCTTCCTGTTGCGATCCCAAACGTGGCTCGGGGAGTTGATATAAGTGCTTGCTCCCTGTGCTGCGTGTGGCTTAGCAAGGAGGCGAAGGCACTTGCAAATTTGTGGTGGTACCTGCTTGAAGTGGCGGGCTTTGATTTACAGCTGCTTTTTCTTTTTTTTTTCCAAAAGATGGAGCCTCCACAGCCCCTTCAGCCTGGACCTGTTTCTCAGCTGGTTTGGTCCCAGGTCTTGCTTAGCAAAGTCTTGAGGCTGCTCTAAATGATGCTGGTGGCAGGTACCTGAGGCTCATGCTAGCAGTGTAGACCTCGGCCTCTGCCCAGGTAATGGAATAGTGGTAGAGCCCCAGAAGTGCCAGCAGAGCGGGGAAGTCTTCTAGTTATGTTTAAGGTGAAACTGGCTTCTGAGCAGCTGAGAGACCATTTCAGAGCTGCTCTAACAAGCACAAGGCTCCTGGCGTTTTTACAGTCTTTCTACACAAACATATGGGTGCAAAGCTACACAAACTCAGCTCTTTGATATTCATCCCAGGTTTCTTTTTGGCTAGCTTTCCTTTCTACCGCATTGTTGAAGGCACAAATGAAACAGCTGCAGTTTGGTGCCCTCCTACCAAAATTACCTCGGGCTCCCCCCAAAAAGAGAGCAGGAATGAATTTCTTTGTAAAAAACTTCAGAGTTTAAGAAACCAGTTTTGCTATGAGCTGAGAACCACTCAGGCCTAGGTCCATCTTGGTCCTTGAAGGCACCTGAGGTGCCCAGACTGGGAGCTGAGTCCTTTTGGGCTCCCATGTAGTCACCTAGAGGAGGCTGGTCCCTCCTGAAGGTGGTTCAGTCCTCCCTCTGAAGAGCAGGGAGGGCTGGATCCTGGCTCTTACCCTTCCTTCTCCTTCTCCAAAGCCTGCTGGACCAGTGTCCACCTTGCATTGTGTCATGGATACCTTGTGACAGGAATAAGGCAGAGTTTCTTTTCCAGCTCTGTGCTCTGCCTGAGCCAGCTGATGCCCATCCCTCACTGTCTGTCTGCTCCCAAAGAATTATGACCTTTTTTTTTTTTTTTGCACGTAGTCAAGTATTTCTTAAAGAAGCAAACATCTGGCAGTGAAGGGATGGGCTGGGGAAAACTAAGCAGGCTTTTACTGCTTAATGCAGAGTGCCAAATGAGGAAGACTCATTGTATTTGATTAGCTGCCATATGACCAGGACTTGTGGAGGCCATCCGTGTCGAGGACAAGTTTTGTTTTGCAGCAGTCACTCCCATGGCCGAGTTTCGATGGCCTTCTGTGACATTTCCTTGTTTGCTTGTGCTGTTTTCTTTTCCAACCATGACAAAATATCCCCAGTACTGGTTATGGGGTTGAGGAGATACTGCAGGGAAGCAACTGAGGAAGCAACTGGGAGCAATGCAGGGAAGCTGGAGGTCCAGCTGGAGGTCCCGCAGTCCCCACCACTGAACTGCAGGAGGGGATGGGTGCTGCTCCCAGCAGCGTCATGAAGGTTTGGCCAAGTCAGTGCATGCTGGTTGTGTTTCAAAAGCACTGTGGCCTCCAGGCTAACAGAGATGTGCTGGAGACATGACGCGCTGGCATGTGCACCCAGAGCTGCAAACCTCTGTACTGGCTGTGTCTTCATTTGCAGAGGTTTTGGGATGCACAGGGGTGTCAGTCTTTCATGCAAAGGCTCACATTCCTCTAGCATCAACTTTTGCATGCTGCGCTCCCTCTCTTCTCCTTCCAGGCGTGCCTGACCACAGATACCTTCTGATTTACCTCCAGCTTTTTCATCTTCAATACCTTTTTCACACACACATGCACGTACACCCAGCTAGCCCCTCAGGTCAGGTCTAATTCTTCACATGCTTTATTCCCAGATGGGTTTCTGGCTGCCCACATTCACCTGCATAGTCAATGGGACTGCGTGATGGACTCATCTTGAGTTTATTTGAATGGAAAGAGGAGCTTCACCTGGTGCTCTCAGCTTGCCTTTTTTTTCTTTTTCTAAGAGCACCGAAACTTGTGAAAGTTGGTTTCTCACCACTTTCCTGTTATTTGGCTTCTCTGGTGTCTAATGATGAGTGAACTTGCTGGCCAAGCCCTCTTTGGGAGCCCCTCAAGGGTCCCTTTCTTCTGGCCAGCAAACAATTTGAACAAAGCTTTTTTGAATACCGTATCTCAAAGACTTCTGTTCTCACATCAGATTTTATCAAAATTGGTCAAAATATTAAAAAAAATACTGAGAAGAGGATCATGCGGGCAGGCAAGGAGTTTGTGTGTGCATTCACATACGCACAAATGCAAACACAGTGTGATCACATTAGCCTTGTTTCCTTAGGAAACCAGCCTAAAAATATCCAAAGTAAACATGCATTGTTTTGGTTTTTAACGCTGAGACTTTTCCAACTCTTGAACCTTAAAATGATTCCATTTGATACGTGACCCTTGAGGACAAGTCCAGTTAGCTGTGTTTTTGTAAGAGCGTTATTTTCCATTTCTTGCCATGACCTCTAACGTGAACTAGACCAGTGGCTGTTGGCCTCTTCATTTCAGGACATGAAGTGCTATTTCTACATCTTGATTATATTTGGACTCTGAGCTGTGGGTGGTTGCTATCAGGAGAGTGATTCTTAAGCTATGGTGCATGTACCACTAGCAGGACACTGCTTCCAAGTAGGATGGTCAGCCTGGAAAAAACTACTTCTCCAGGGTGGTATCAAGCAAAACACCTTGTTATTGTCTTCTTTTTCTTTGTGGAGCTGTGGGCTAGCAGTGAAAGGGACAGTAGAAGGGCTGAGGTGTCTTACTACAGAAATGAGGTTGCGTATTTGAGATGGGGCTTGAACTGTGGCCACTGTGGAAGATAGGATTGCTTAAGATGAGGACATGGTCATTCAAGACTGACAGTCAACTGTAGCTGTGTTTGCAGAATTAAGTGTCTCCACCAGGCTTGTTTTAAGATGATGCCTCATGTTCCTATTGTACAGCAATGATGTCTACTGTTGGCAGGTCCTGTATGAAGGCATCAGGAGAACCTCCTGAAAGAAGTTCACAAGCTCTGTAGAAATAAAAGGAGGAGAAATGAAAACATCTTGTCTTTTAAGTACAGTATGTGAAATAGAGTAATGAGATTAAGTGACTCAATCAAGGAATCTGTCACAGGCCAGGGTAACACTCGGACCTTTTTCATTGAGCTGTG